CCATATTCTTTGGTTTGTACATGGTTTCTCAGTTAATACATAGCTAATAGCTCTTATTTATCTTATGTTTTTAACTGCTTATATCTCTCTGGAAAAGGGTGAAAATTCATTTGATGGAAATACTTGTGTCTATTTAAAGACCCAGTTGCTCCTCTGGAGCTTGTACGTTCAAGAATGATTAATCTGTGTAATAAACTGATTACTACAGTCATTACATATAAAAAAAGAAGTTGATACCCTTTGACTCAGTAATTGCCATTTTAGGAAGTTTGTAACTACATAATTGGAAAGTAGGCAACAAATCATACTTGTATTTTATCATGGCATTAAAAAAACTTTTATTTAAAAAATTTTCAAGCATCACAAAAGTAGAGAACATAGTATAATTGTATAGTGAGCTACCATTGAAATAGCTTCCAGCTGCAGTAGTTATCAAGATGTGACCACACTTCCTAGGGTTATTTTGCTGCTGTTGTTAATGTTTTTATTTTATTTTAATTATATTTTGATTATTCTATTAAAGTAGTCCTGATTTTCCCCCTCTCACTCCCCTCCACCCAGCACCCCTTACTATGTCAGGCAGTCCTCCCACCATTGTTCATGTCCATAGGTCACATGCATATGCCCTGTGGCTGCTTCATTTCCTGCACTGTACTTTACATCCCCATGGCTATTCTGTAACTACCTATTTGTACTTCTTAATCCCCTTACCTCTTCACCCATTTCCCCACACCCCCTCCCATTTGACAACCTTCCAGTAATTAAATTCTTTTCTTTTGCTTTTAACAGTCTCTCTTTATCTTTAACCTTCAGCCTCTTAATAATGATGTGTCTTGGTGTGGGCCTCTTTACATCTGTCATAATTGGGGTTATCTATGCTTCCCGGACTTGCATGTCTATTTCCTTCACCAAATTAGGGTAGTTTTCTTTCTCAGTTTTTTCAGATAGATTTCCAATTTCTTGCTCTCTCTCTTCTCCTTCTGGCACCCTTGTGATTTGAATGTTGAAATGATTGGAGTTGTCCTAGAGGCTGCTTACTCTATCCTTATTTTGCGGAGGGAGATACTTTTTTCTTCCTGTGGTTCTGATTCATTGTTTTTTGCTTCCTTATGTTAAAAAATATTGATTTCATTCTTAGTTTCATTCACTCTACTGTTGTTTCACTGTACATTGTTCTTTATTTCAATTAGTGTCTCCATCATTTCTAACTAGATCTTTTTTATGCTGTGAAGTTCCTCACTAAGTTCCTATCTTTATAACCAGTGTTTTGAACTCTGCATCTGATAGATTGCTTATCTCCATTTTGTTTAGTTCTTTTTCTGGAGTTTTGATCTGTTCTTTCATTTGGGCCATGTTTTCATATCTCCTCATTTTGGCAGCCTCCCTGTGTTAGTTTCTATATACTAGTTACAGCTGCTATGGTTCCCTGTCTTGGTAGTGTGGCCTAATGTAATAGATGTCCTCTAGGGTCCAGTGACGCTGCCTTCCCTATTACCCAAGCTGGATACTTGAGTTGAGCCTTTCATTTGGGCTGAGTATACCCTGCTCTTGTAGTTGAGCCTTGGTTGCTGTTGGTAGATCAATGGGAGGGACTTACCCAGGCCAGTCCACTGCAGGGACTGACTGTGACCACTGACCACCAACCTCTGCCCTCCATGGAGGATCAGCTGGCTGTGCAGGGGCAGGGTGGTGGTGCTCCAACGTGGTCTGTAGCTGTCCACTGGGTGCTAAGGTCCTGGGGTTTACGTGGTGGTGCAGACCGTCACCTGTGTTTTACACAGAGCCACCCTGCCTGAACTGTAAAGCAATCTGAGATGGTTGTTACCTGTGCTGGGTTTGGAGAGTCCCAGGTGAAGCCAAGCTGTGACTATAATCTGGCTGCACTAGGGCTCACTGAAACCTGCTGTTGCTTGTTTGGTAAGATTTAGGAGCAAGACCAGCCATTCTTACAGAAAAGCAGCTTGGGTGGGCCTATAATATGTGGATTCGGGTCTCTGTGGATCTCTAAGGTGGGTCACACAGTGTTTGCCAGGTTGATGGAGTCTCAGATATGGCACCAACCTACCTGCTCTGTGGCAGGAAGGCTCAGCAAAGGGACAATGTTCTCTGCTCACCACCCCAGCCAGGCACCTCAGTCTCATCCTGTATACTACTGGTGCCCTTCAGGCTGCCATCCCAGTGCTGGGACTCAGAGGGCATGAGTCTGAGTAGGTGAGTCCTTGTGTGGGTTCTTTAAGAGAAACTACATAGGGCTCCAGAGCCCTCCTCCACCAACTAAATCTTTGCTGCTTTTCAAAACCAGAAGTTATAAGGACTATCGTCTTGACACTGGAACCCTGGGCTGAGGGGCCTGGTATGGGTCCGGGACTCCTTGCTCCTGAGATATCCATCCCACATTTGTATCCACATGGGTGTGGGGCCAGTCCATTCCACAGTTGCGCCCCCTCCTACCAGTCTGGATGGTTGTATTTTCTTTAATTCCATAGTTGTCAGACTTCCATTCAACTTGATTTCTGATGTTCCCGAGTGATGGTTGTTTTCTATTTTTGTTGTAATTTTTAAAGTATTTTTGTTGATTATGCTATTACAGTTTTCCCAATTTTCCCCATCTATCCCCTCTCTGCCCTGCGCCCCACAACCCTCCAGGATCCCCCCCCCGCCTTACTTCATGTCCATGGGTTGTGCATGTAAGTTCTTTGAATTCTCTGTTTCCTATACCATTTTTGACCTCTCTCCATCTATTTTATGTCTACTAATTATGCTTCCTCTTCCCTTTACCTATTCCTCCCTTCCCTCTCCCCCTCCCCCCTCCCCCCTCCCCACTGAAATCCCTCCATGTGATCTCCATTTCTCTCATTCTGTTCCTGTTCTGGTTGTTTGCTTAGTTTTTGTTTTTGTTTTTCTTTTAGGTTCATTTGTTGGTAATTGTGTTTGTTGTCATTTTATTGTTCATATTTTTTATCTTCCTTTTCTTAGATAAGTCCCTTTAACATTTCATGTAGTAAGGGCTTGGTGATGATGAACTCCTTGAATTTGACCTTATCTGGGAAGCACTTTATCTGCCCTTCCATTCTAAATGAAAGCTTTGCTGGATAGAGCAATCTTGGATGGAGGTCTTTGCCTTTCGTGACTTCGAACACTTCTTTGCAGCCCCTTCTTGCCTGCAAGGTTTCTTTTGAGAAATCAGCTGATATTCTTATGGGCACTCCTTTGTAGGTAACTCTCTCCCTTCCTCTTGCTGCTTTTAGGATTCTCTCTTTATCTTTAATGTCGGGTACCTTAATGATGATGTGATTTGGTGTGTTCCTCTTTGGGTCCAACTTCTTTGGGACTCTCTGGGTTTCCTGGACTTCCTGGAAATCTGTTTCCTTCACCACATTGGGGAAGTTTTCCTTCATTATTTGTTCAAATAAGTTTTCAATTTCTTGCTGTTGTTCTTCTCCTTCCAGCACCCCTATAATTGGGATATTGGAATGTTTCAGTTTTTCCCAGAGGTTGGTTCCTAAGATGCTCTTCACCTTTTTGATTCTCATTTCTTCATTCTATTCCAATTGGATGTTTATTTCTTCCTTTTGGTCCAAATCATTGCTTCGAGTCCTGGTTTCCTTCCTGTCCCTGTTGGTTCCCTGAATATTTTGCTTTATTTCATTTTGAGTATCTTTCATTTGTTCTTTCATTTTTCAACTGAGCTCAGTTAGTTCTGTGAGCATTTTGATTACCAGGGCTTTAAATTCTCCATCAGACAGGTTGGCTGTATCCTGATCAGTTAGTTCTCTTTCTGAGGGTTTGCTCAGTTCTTTCATTTGGGCCTTATTTCTTTGTCTTGGCATAGCTGATAGGTTTTAAGGGAGTGGAGTCTTACGTATTCACCCAGGCAGGGCAACCCTCTTTTCTGCGCTGTGGCCCTGTCTGTGGGGGAGGGGCCACAGAGGAAACAGTGGGGCTCACCTGCCCATCTCTAGCCCCACTTTCCCGTGAACTCTTGTGTGAGACTGGGAATTTCTCCCACCATGGCAATCCCACTGTAGTCCACAGTCAACTCTGAGTCTCAGTTTTGCCCTCAGCCAGCCCCTCCTTCACAGTTCACTGACTTGCTGCTGGTTTTCTTAGCCGGCCCCCCACACCCATCCCTGGTAGTCTGCTGCCTCACCTCGGGTTCTTACTGGTCTTGTTCTGGTTGACGTTTTCTTTAATTCCTTGGTTTGTCGGAGTTCCATGCAGTTTGATTTTCTGGCACTTCTTGTTATTTATTGATATTAGATTGGTTGTTATCCTCTTTTTGGTTGTGCGAGGAAGCGAATGGTTTCTACCTACACCTCCATCTTGGGTAGAACTCCTATATTTTAGTTGTAATTTTGATATGGTTGTGTAAAGAGGTGAGCCATGTCTGCCTACATAGCCATCATGACTAGAAGCCTCTCTCGCTAATGTATTTTAAAATAAATTCTATACCTCAAATTGCTTCACTCCCACGTTCTTCAATATGCACCTGTAAAATTGACAGGCATTTTCATACATAATCATAATGCCATTATTACTCCTGACAAATTAATGATGATTTTTTGTTGTCATCTTAATATTCTGTCCATTTTTGGATTTTTCTCAGTCTCAAAAAAAACCAAAAACCTTTCTGTAGTTTGTTCAAATCAGAATCCAAACATGATCCATATATTACAATATTATTTTTAATAGCAAAAAATTGGAAGCAGCCAAAGTGTTACATGAAGAAAAGCTGATTAATTGTGGCAGTGTCATAAATCTGTGGTTATTTCTCTAGTAGGATTATGGATAATATGATTTTACCTTTCTTTAATACTTTTCAATTTTTTCTGAGTATTCTGTACTAAGAATTAGGATGAAAAGTATTTTTAAAGAAAAGATTTTAACTGTCTCTCAGTGGATTTACTGAATTTGAATTCTGTATCTCACTGTGCCCTCACCCTTTTTCTTAAAGAACCATGTCTGATGCCATTGTTCCTTGCTTGTATTAACTTTTCTAGGTCCGAGCTCATCAGCTGGTTCTTCCTCCTTGTGATGTGGTGATCAAGGCTGTTTCTGAGTATGTTAGTTCCATCAAAGACCCCTCTAACCTGGATGTGGTTGGGAAGGATGTTTTCAAACAGTCTCAGGTGAGTTTCCCTCCCCCTTCCTAAGAGTAGCCAGTTTTTGTACCTTCACCAGTACCACCAGCAGATGTGATCTTTTCTATGTTGGCTACCTTCTCTCCTAGCTGCTTGTCTTCTCTGTGCATACCATACCAGAACCCTAGGGTCCCTTTCATAAAACATTACTAGGACTAGATCGGAAGGGTTTTTTACCTTTTTCCCGCTGATTATCAAACTTATCCAAGCTCATCCTAGAAAATTAAGAAAAAATTTAAAAGCCTCTACAAATCTCATTACCCAGAAACAACTTGCTATATTATCACTGGCATATATCCTTCTACTCTTTTTGTTGTTGTTGTTGTTGTTGCTTCAATGTATATTTTAATATAAAGGAGATCTTGCTTATTGGAGAATATTGGGTAATGAAAAAGACTACTTAAAGTAGGTTCACATAAAACAAGAATCTACCCTGGCTGGTGTAGCTCAGTGGATTGAGCACAGGCCTGTGAACCAAATGGTCTCCAGTTCAATTCCCAGTCAAGCCTCCATTGCCGGCCAAGTCTCCGGTAGGGGGTGCATGAGAGGCAACCACACACTAGTATTTCTTTCCTATTCTTTCTCCCTCTCTTCCCCTCTCCCTAAAAATAAATAAATAAAATCTTAAAAAGAAACAAGAATCAATATTTCATTGCTTATAGTGAAAAAAGAGCTCGACTAAGATTTTGTCTTGTGAAACTAAAAGAATAAGTTACTTTTATTTTTAACGATTTAATTTATACTTGCACTCTGGGTTTTTTAGTTTTTTTTTTTAAGATTTTTATTTATTTATCTTTAGAGGGGAAAGGAAGGAGAGAGGGAGAGAACTGGCCTGCAACCCAGGCATGTGCCCTGACTGGGAATCGAACCGTGGTTGCTTGGTTCCCAGGCCCGCGCTCAATCCACTGAGCTACACCAGCCAGGGCATGGGTTTTTTAGTTTTATTTTCTAAGTTAACATAGAGCAAAAGTGACTTTTGTATATATGTGTACACAGTTGTATGAATTTTTAACACATGTATAGATGTACATGTGATTTATGTAACCACCCTAACACTTTGGATCAGAACAGTTGAACCACTCCAAAATCTCTCATGCTATCGCTTTGTAATCACACCCAAACATATGCCTAACTCCTGGCAACTACCAGTGTATTCTCTGTCACTACAGTTATATCTTTTAGAGAAGAGCATATTACTGGAATCATACACTATGTAATCTTTGAGAATGTCATTTTTCATTCAACATACTGTCTTTGAGAGTCTTGTGGATAGTTGCATGTTGCATCCACCTATAATTTACTCATTTTTTAAAAATATATTTGATTAATTATGCCATTACAGTTGTTCTATTTCCCCCTTCATTCCCCTCCACCCTGCACTTATAATTTACTCATTTTTATTGCCAAGTAATATATATTGTGTGGGTATTCCACCATTCATTTATCCATAGATAATATTTGAGTTATTTCCAATTTTTGGTCAAGCTGCTGTTAACATTTGTATATAGATTGTTTTTTTAATTTTGATTTTATTTACTTTTAGAGATAGGGGAAGGGAGAGAGAAAAAGAGGGAGAGAAATATCAAACGGTTGCCTCTCGCATACCCCCAACTGAGGACCTGGCCCACAACCCAGGCATGATTGGGAATTGAACTGGCAACTCTTCGGTTTGCTGGGTGACACCTAACCAACTGAGCCACACCAGTTAGGGCATTACACATTTTTGTATGAACATAAGATTTCTTTTTCCTAGTGAAAATAAATACCTAGGAGTGGGATTTGGGGGTCACATGGTAAGTGCATGTTTAACTTTATAAGACCCTGCCAAACCATTTTCCAGAGTGGTTGTTCCATTTCTCATCAGTGCTTATTATTGTCAGTATTGTTATAGCTATCCTAATAGGTGTGTTGTAATAATCCATCATAATTTTAACTTGCATTTCTCAAATGACTAATGCTAAACAATTTTTTCTTGTGTTTACTTGCTGTCTATATGTCTTTGGTGAATTGTCTGGTCTGTTTGTTAATAGTCTTTTGCCCATTTTTTAATTGTGTTGTTTGTTTAGTTACTGTTGAGTTTTGAGAGTTCTTTATATGTTCTGCATACAAATCTCTTGTTAGATATCTGGTTTGCAGATATTTCCTCCCAGTCTGTAGTATGTCTTTACATTCTTTTTTTTTTTGAAACTATGGTTCATTATTTTCACATGGACAGTTCATAGGAAATTATCAGTAGCTTTTGTTTCAAAGAAGAATACCCACACACAAAATACAGAACCTTGGGCTTAAAAGAAACTCATCTGTCACTAGAAGTCTGGTTGAAGAATTCATATTTTTAGAAGGAAAATACAGTACAGAATTCTGTAGAGAGCAAAGCAGTTTCACAATAAAGCTAGTTCGAATGGCTTATTTCCCAGGCTTAAAGTGATTTGGGGGAAGTATCACAGGGCTAGCCATAGGGCGATGATCCAGTGGTCACTGCCCAGGGCCTTGGAAAGTATCTTGCCATCACACAATGCAGGTAACAGAGAGTGAGACACCAAAAAATAATCAAGATGCCAACTAATATTTTTGGATTGAGCATTCATCATGTATGTCCAAAAGGTGTAGGCATTGGTCATATTGGGGTAGAGGTGTCGGGAACTATCAGCTAGTGGAACAGTATGCAGCAATTCCTCAAAGTTTTGCCAGTCTTGTGGAATGAAGTCAGCATTCTTTTTCCCTTGGGGTTTTGAAGGTCAGTTTCTTCATGAGCCATTTTGAGGTTCCTACATTGCACAAGGAGCTTGCGGGAAGTCAAGCCCTTCAAGAACTTGAGAAAGACTTCATCCCAGCATTGCTGGTACTCTACATGCACCAGACCTTGGCCTGCATTATGTACACAGGCTGTTACCAGCACAAATGTATCAAATCTAGCCAGTGCCATGGGAGACTTTGAGAGGGCACTGGCAGAAGATTAGGCCCACACCACTGCACCCTTCCTTGTCTGAAGGAGCTGACCAGTACAGATGGGATAGTCCAGGCAGCTCGTGAAGTTCAGCTAGTAGTTTATTGTGTAAATACTTGGTCTCCTGCAGGCACAGGATATCTGGGGTTTCTTTCTTTATCCTATCTAAACCTTTCTTCTTAATCCAAGCTCAAAGCCCATCCACATTCCTGGAGCAGATCTTGAGTGTGCCTATTTGGCCACTGGGTGAGGTTTTCTGATCTTGGTGTGTCTTCTCATACAGGACTGGCCCCTCTCCTGCTCCCTCTTTTTTATTTTTCTTTGCTCCTAACATCAACTTACACTTCTTTTTTTTAATCTTCACCTGAGGACATGTTTATTAATTTTTAGAGAGAGGGGAAGGGAAAGAGAAAAACATCGATGTGAAAGAGAAACCCATAGGTTGCCTCCCGTACATGCCCCTACCGGGGATGGAACCCACCACCTAGGTATGTGTTTTGACTGGGAATCAAACCTGCAATCTTTTAGTGCATGGGACGATGCTGCAACCAACTGAACCACCCAGCCAGGCCCAACTTACTCCTCTTGACCTCTGGCTCAGCCTTGGGCTCTTCCCTGTCTTTTAGCACCAATTCCTTTTCCCCACTCTTCAGCCCTCCTGTAACAAATGCCCTCCTGTGCCACGTTGCCCAGTGAAGCAGTATTTTTATGTTGCTTGATCAAGTCCTTGCCAGGCTCCTCCTTACCTGAGCACAAAGGATGGAGCACCTCTCTGTACATTGTTTTAACAATGTCTTTTGCAAAACAAAAGTTTTACATTTTTATCAGTTTTTATCTTTTATGGATCATGCTTTGGGTTTATGTCTAAGCACTCTTTGTATAGCAGCAGGCATGACAAATTCTCCTGTTTTCTTCTTAAAATTATATAGTTTTACATTTAGAACAAATCGTGTTTTGCGTTTATTTTTGTATAAAGTGTGAGGTGTTTTGTTTTGTTTTTGCATGTGGCTGCTTAATTGTTTCAACACAGTTTGTTGAAAAGACTGTCCTTTCTCAATTGAATTGCCTTTGTCAAAAATCAATTGTCCATATTTCTGTGGAACTATTTCTGGACTCTGTTCTGTTCAGTTAACCTATGTGTCTATCCCTTTACAAATAGCACATTGTCTTGAAAACTGTAACTTTATGGTAAGTCTTAAACTTGGGCGGTGAGTCCTCCAATTTTATTCTCTTTTTTCAAAATTACTTTGGCTATTTTTGTTTCTTTGCTTTTCCATATAAATTTAGAAAAATCTTTGTAGATGGCTCTACAAAAATATCCTGCTGGGATTTTAATAGGAATTCCTTTAAATATATAGATGAATTTGGTGAATCTTCAAATCTATGAATACATTATGCCTGTATTTATTTAGACCATCCTTGATTTCTTTCATCAGAGCTTTATAGTTTTTAGTCCTGTGCGTATCTTTTTATATATTTATACTTTAATATTTGAGGCCCCTATTATAAAGGATATTGGTTTTTTCATTTCAATTTCTAGTTGCCCATTGCTTAAATAGAAATATGATTGTTGTCTCTTTACCTTGTATTGAGGTATTTAGAGAGGCAACCTTTCTAAACTCACTAAGAGGTTTTTGGTAGATTTCTTAGTATTTTCTGTGTACATGATTATGTTATCTGTAAGTAGGGACAGTTTTATTACTTTCTTTTCTAGCCTGTGTGCTTTTTTTCCTTGACTTACTACAGTATCTAGGATTTTCAAATGACCCTTGTCTTGTTCCTATTCTTTGGTGAAAGCTTTCAGTTAGCATTAAGTATGATGCTAGCTGTAGGTTTTGTAGATGCACATTATCAAATTGAGGAGGTTCTCCTCTATTGATAGTTTACTGAGAGTTTTATGGTGAATGGATATATTGTGTCAAATGCATTTTCTGCATCTATTGATAGGATTATGTGGTTTTTCTTTTTCAGTCCGTTATCTTTTTAAGAACATTCCTCCATTTTAATTTTTTTATGATATTATTTATTTGTAGAGGGGAAG